CACAATTAGCTCACACGCAATCAATACAATAAGATGCACTTGCATATCTTTGATGAACAGTATGTTGTTGTATTCAGGTATTCAGGTACACGCAAAACACGAAGATTACAGGTTTAATCGTGATACGATAATCCTGTTTTGCACTCATCAATTATCGACAACCTGTGTCGGGAAAGTCTATTGTGTTAATGCAGTTGCTTTTAAGACATGCAAAAAAAATGAAAATGAAAAGAATCACAGTACAATAGGCAAAGTATGTACTTTATAAAAACACCATACATTCATACGGCATGCGCGTAAGATGCTCGGTGATTCACTAATGTGTCACTCGTGGTGACATTCGGCAACTGCACACCGGGTACTCACTGCTCTGTCCTCTCACTCAGTTAATAAATATATTCATTTTGTTTTTACCTGTGTAGTGACACAATCGAATTGTAATTCGTAAACAAAAGAAAGTGTATACTTAGTTGGGAATTTGCTGGATGGTAAATTCTGTCGCCGATATCTTACCCGGCACGTAAAAACTTTACTCCAGATGGGTTCGTCTCTGTGGAAAAAGAAACACTTCCGCGGTATTTATTTCTCCCGCACGGAACGTTATTTTTCGTCCCTGAAAAATAAGAACACTAACCACAAAGTCATGCTGCCACCACTTGTCACCGCTCCACTATTTCCTTATAACTTCGTAATTACTTAGTTAATTAAGGTGAAGCAGTCACTTCTCAATAGTACTTTGATCACCTTGCTGATACTTCCTTTTGTCGATTCTTTAGACTGGTCTAGTTCGAGAATATATCAATACACCTGGAATAAACACTCGTGGTGGAATGGATAACGAAACACACTTATTTTCCACCACTTTAATAATACGATAATGCTATAATTCAATATTTACACGGGCACAGATTCATGAGGCAATAACTGAGTGAAAGCGAGTGACTGGCTTCTCGCTTGGCCTTATATACACTATTAGTACTGAATGGGGTAGTTTTACTAGCCCCTCACAATCCCCTTAAGGTCCATGCTTGATCTTGCCTTAATAAACAGATAATATCTGTGCATGTCAATAACAATATATATATAAGTATTCATATTAACAACTATATAACCAAGTTATCATTGTGACAATCACATAGAATATATACTCCATTATAAAAGGATTAACATAATTACTCACTACCGTCCCCATGACGTGGAAGGTGCCCTATGACTTGTCAACTTGTTTGGCTATGTGGAACTTTGGAATACTTATATATATATATATATATATATATATATATATATATATATATATATATATATGTATGTATGTATATATATTTATATGCACACACACACACACATGTAATATGTAAGCTTATGCATGCATGTATATATATATATATATATATATATATATATATATTATATATATATATATATATATATATATATATATATGTATATATACATGTTTACTGAGGTGGAGCTTCCATGGTGGCACGGGGAGTATAGCACACTGCATAGCATAGCATACTGCTTAGCATACCACGTGGTTGGCAGGGGTCGCCATGTGCGAGCCACGGGGGGAGCAGCCGTGCATCACCCAAGCCATGCTTGCGCTCTGCGCCCTCTTCGACACACCGCGAAAGAGTGTTCAAGATCACCCGGCTGACCCAAGGATCTTATTCTCTCATTCATTTACTCGCTACATGCCAAGCTGACCTGAGCTGACCCTCCTCCCAGCTGCTGCCCTCTCCTGGGCCAAGCCAGTGGGTCCCACTCAGCACTGCCCACCAGCCTCTGTAGTGCTCATATCGTGTGTTATTAAATAAAGTGTGAAGCCACAAAAGTGTATCCCTAGCCGCCACCAGTAAATTCAAACTACACAATATAAAATGCTTTTAGTACCTTTTATAGTCTGGTGGGAGGCAGTGTGAGCTTCAACTTTTCAGCTTGAAGCACGAATAATCGTCTCCGAAAATTATCCCGCTCGACCATACCATCGATATGAAGAACAAGGCTACAAAACCACGTAAGTTCATGTTAAGGGCCAATCTTTTCTCTTTTCTTTCTTCTTCCCCTTTATGTTGAATTTGCAGGTTAGAATTGCTAACAGTGAAAATTTGACAGCATAATGGCAACACTCACATACTGTCAGTTATCTTGCCATCAGGTCACTTACTCAGGACAAGGTGAGATCTATGGTCACAAACATTGATATATCGTTCTTTAAATAGTTCATTCGTTCGTATTTAGAGATTTATATTGTTTCAACGGCAACAAAATTCAATTAAGTTCGTGAGTTTCTCTCAAGCTGAGAATTTTTATTTTGTGATTTGCAATCACTTACGAATTCTGTGTATTCCTTTTACTTGTACAAATTTTGTTAATTGATTGTTGAATTTCATTCTTTGGTTCATTTTATTCACTTACTGAATT